GACATGGCAGAGGTCGGCCAGGCACAGCAAGATCTCGTGGCCACAGGCACTGCACAACCCCCAGCTTGGCCCAAGGGCCAATGTGGACAGGTCCCAGGGGCAGCAAGGGGCCCTGGCTGCTGGGGGCGAGTGGGGCCATGAGCCGTCATGGCTGGCAAGGGGCAGAGCAGGGAGCAACCACAGTGCTCTGCTCTCCCACGGGAGAGCTCTCCCAGCCATTGGCACCGTGTGCTGCTCGGTCGCTGTTGCAGACTGAATCGGGCGCTGCAGCACGAGCAGGGCTTCGCTGACCGCTTCCTTCCTGATGACGAGGCAGCCCGGGCATTGGGCAGGACGTGCTGGGAGGCCCTGGTGAACCCCTTGGTGCAGAGCATCACTAGCCCAGGTACCCTGCGCTCTCTGGGGCCCCTCCGTGCTGTGCCCCGGGCAGAGGCAGCTGACTCTGAGTCTGGTTGGCCTCACAGGCCCCGATGGCGTCAGTCCCTTGGCCTGGCTGCTGAGGGAGTACCTGGAGAGCGTGGAGCCGCCCTGCCGTGCCAGGGGACACAGGGCTGCCTTTGGTTCCTGTGTGCGGCGCCTGACCCAGCTCCTGGTGCACGTGGACCTTGGTGGCCCAGAGCCAGAGGAGACAAGAGCAGCTGGTGAGTGAGGCACTGCCCTCCCGTGGGGCTGGGCTGGTGGTGGTCCAGGATGTCAGGCTGTGGCCATGGGGCTCATCTGGGGAGGGCCCTGTGGCAAAGGAGGCTCCTGAACCAGGAAGGGCTTGTGGTCATACCCATGCCTGCCCAGCGTCCCCTCTGCCCTGCTGGGGTCGGTCAGTGTGTGGGACCTGCTCACGGAGCCATGCTGACCCTGGGGTTCACCCTTGGCAGGTGGGAAGGCAGGGAAGAACAAGGAGGTGCCAGCCAGGGCTGCAAAGGCAGTGGTGGAGAAGTCGAGCGGCCTGTGGGGAATCTCGCAGTGCTGGCGTGGCGTGGTGCAGCAGCAGGTAGAGCTTGGAGGGCTGGCCGGGAGGGGTGTGTGGGACCCACGCTGGGTGGGTGGAGCAGGGAGTGAGGCCTGGCAGTGCCCTGGGAGTGTGGGGAGGGCACAGGGCTGTACTAGGCCTCCACAGAGCCCAGAGCGATGTGGGGACAGCTCTGCTGCACTTGCCACCCTGGCACGGCTCAGGTGTCAGCCAGGCCCTGCACCCAGGGGGATGCTGCCAGGCCAAGAGAAAGGTACAGTGTCAGGCCCCTGATTTCCTGCAGGGCTGCTGCTGTGCCTCTGTCATTCCCTCACAGACCCTGTCCAGCCCTCTCCACGAGCTCTCAGCAGCCTGCAGCAGCAACAGGGGCCCGAGCTGGCCTCTGGCTGGGACCCGGGCAGTCAGTGTTGGCAGAGCAAGGCTGGGGCTGCAGACGTTCCCACGGGCACATCCCGCTGCGGGCTCACCTCTCTCGCTCTGTGTCCCACAGGTGCAGCAGTTCCTGGAGGCAGCAGGGCAGGTACCAGACCTTGCAGAGCAATACTGCAGGCTGTACCAGCGCCTGCGCGGTGCCACGGAGGAGCTCTTTGGGCAGCAGGCGGCCTTCATGCTGGCCCTGGGCCAGGGCTTTGCGGGGGCTTTGCTGCAGCTCTCCTTCCTGACTGCCCTGCACGTGAGTTAAGGGAGTGTGGCACTGGTGTCGTGGCCCCGGGGGGGCACAGGCTGGGGAGCTGCCCTGGCCCATGGCCTTGGGGTGAGCTCTGGGTGGGTGGTGTGCTCGTCCCCACCGAGCCACAGAGCCCTGTCCTGTGGCAGCCCGAGATGGGCCCCAGCTGTGGGTGTGGCACCTATCACAGTGTGGGCCTGGCCCCGGCACACTCGTGCCTTGGACTGGTGCCTGGGCACCCTCAGCCCCTGCCTGAGAGTGCCAGAGTTTCCCAGCTGCTCCCGCGAGGGACATTCCCCCAGCCCTGCACTGTGGCCACCCTGTGAGTGCCCTCCACAGCCAGCCCTGTTCCTCACAGGTGAGTGAGCAGTTTGCCCGC